AAGAAGTAGGCCTGAGTGGACTTGTAGACTCTAAAGTTTTACCTTGTTTTGTTTTTGAGTGAAGTTATGTAACACACAAACTACATATGTAAATTTCACTTTCAGGAAAAAGAGATTGCGCTACAGTACTTGTATGAGGTGAATTGAAAAATACTATCTTTGTCATTTTTACAATGCAAATATTTGTAATAAATATAGTAATATAAAGTGAGCACTGTACACTCTGTATTCTGTGTTGTAATTGAAATCAATATATTTGAAAATGTAGAAAAACATCCAAAAATATTTAATAAATTTCAGTTGGTATTCTAACAATGTGATGAAAACTGTAATTAATTGTGATTTTTTTTTTAAATTAATCATGTAAGTTAACTGGGATTAATTGACAGCCCTAATAGTTCGCAGTGATGATATTTAAATTGCCATCTTTAGGTTTTAATTTTTAACCCCTTGAGGCAAATGGAGCAATTGACACATCTCTCAGCTGTTTCAGTTTGTATGCCTACTCAGGAAGACAACACTGTATTTGTTTGTATCTGGCTCCTGTCTTTAAGGTTCTCTTCATAAACATAAGGGATAGAAAAATCATCATCATCTTCTTTTTTATTTTTTTAAACAGGAACGCATATCTGGAGCCAGAGGTGAATTTTGCCGTAAATTCCGTAGCCTCCAAATTGTGGGGTTGTGGGTCAATGAAAGCTGTTTTGCAAAGTAATAGTTTTGGATGCCACAAATAACATACATTAGCTTTCAAAAAAGAGAAAAGGGGTTAAATCCTTTATAATATCTGAAGAGTGAGTATGTTTTCAAAATGCCTCAAATTTATTTTGTTGAATTGGGGTATGTTTTAGACATTGGGCTTTGAAATTTTTAATTTTTTTTTTTCAAATTGTGAAAGGTCTTCCACGTTAACAAAGATATTGTACCCTCTTTTTAGCAGAACCAGCCAGGTTTATTCTTTAAAGTCTTAATGTACAGTTGTATCCTTTTTCTACGTACAAACTATCTTAGATTTTAAATCCTCATCCTTGCCTAATCTTTGTTTTCTTGTGCCCGTGACATGAGTGGAGGGGAAGAAAATGGGCTTACATAATGTATGGAAGAGACTATTGTCTTTATTCACTCATTTAATTAAACTAGCTATATTTAGTTCTCAGACCTGTTGGTGTAAATAGAGCAGAAAGAGTTCTAACTGCTGAGGGTTTCAATGAGTTTTAGCCTTGCAAACCTCCTGGTTTACTGAGCTGGGATAGCAGTGGCCTTGTAAAGTGTGTCTGTACTAGGAAGTGACCTGGTGCTCACTCTGGTTGTCCTGTGTTTGCTAGCAGTTAGTTTTCAGCACCAATTTGGGAAGGTGGGGGAAGCTATTGCTGACTTTTTCATGTGAGCTATTTGCTGAGTGTAGACGCTGCTGCTTTGCTCTCTGTAGGAGAGGAATGAGTGTGGTCTACTGGATTTTGCTTCTGGCTAGGAGCTAGGAACTCCTGAGTTAATCCTGACTGCCGCTGATTCAGTCTGACTTTACGGAAGTTAGTTAATTTATTTGGCTATGTCTATATGGCATTCAGGAGGTGTGATTGCAGTACATATAAGCATATCTGAGCTAGCTTGCCAAAAATGGCAGTGTAGCTGCAGTGCTCCAGGCTAGCTGTCAGAATACAATCCCACCTGGGTCCCAGGGTACGTACTCAGGCAGCTAGCCCATGCTGCCATGGCTTCACTGCTGTTCTTCGTGAGCAAGCGTGTGTATGCCTGCATATGCTTCAGTCGTGCCTTCTGATTGCTTTGTTGACGTATCCTCTGTGTCTTGGTTTCCCGTTTGTAAAATGGGGATACTTCTGTCGTACCAGAGTGCTAAGAGTTAATTAGTTGATTTTTACAATGCTTTGACCATAAAAAATGTTACATAATATAATGATATTTAGCACTTATATAGTGCACTGTCTTTTATTATTTTGCAGATAGGGAAATTGGTCCAAATCACACTGCAAGTCAAGGTCAGGGCTGGTGATAGAATCCAGACCTCTTGATTCTTAGTCCTGTCATCAAGCAACTGTACCCTCCTGGAAAGTACTAGGATATGTAATTAGAAGCTGGCAATATTAATACCTGGCATATAAACTGAATTTTATCCCAGCAGTTCATGCCAAGGCTGACCAAGAAGCTTTAACATAGCGCTGTTTTCCCCCTGTCCACTTTAATCTTTCTGTTTAGCCAGTCGGTGGTTTTGGATGTGGATTTTGTGAAGATATGGCTCACTGTTCTGATGAATCTGAATGGTTTTCCTGCATGCATATGTGATGCCTGTATTTGAATGCCCCACCCGAGCATGAGTGAAGTCCTTTCATTCCTTTTCATATTATATTTGTCCTGAATCCCCAAACCTTTCACCCTTTCCAGCGCAAGACAGTTCTGGATAGCCCCCAAGAAGCCCCACCTACCCAATCAAAGAAAAAGTCAGGTCGCCCGACTGTAAGTCCTGTTGGGGATGGGGGATAACTAACCAGTGGTTGTCTGTCTTCTGTGAATAAATTGGAGGCAGAAACAGCCCCCATTTGGACAAAAGCTTCATGCTAAAGTGTATGGGCCCCAGGTGCTTTGATGAATTCTTGCAATTCATTTGCCACCCAATGCTATGCCTGTCCATAGGAGCCTGTCCATAGGCAGACTGTCAGAGTTCACAGTTAAAGTAGATAGGTCTTGAGGACTCAAAAGGTAGCCCTCCCACCTCTGAGCTAAAGGCCCTGGATTACAGATCTGTACCTAGATTTCAGAGCCCATGCCTATCGTGAGTGGTTTGCCTTTTGGATGAGACTTGAGTTTTTTTGGCATCTCTTGTGCCAGCTGGAAGCCACACTGAAGGGCTCCAGGAGTGGGGGTTTCTTCTAAGATCTGCCTATTAACACAAAGCCTCGTGTCAGAACAGTAATCTTTAGCTGAGGGCTGAATCTGGTGTTCTCCATAGTGTGCTCCTGTGCTCCTCTTATAGCTGGAAGCGTTTATTTGAAGGATAGACAATGTTCCTCTGTTCTTCCTGCTCCCTTCATGGCAGTCCCAGCCTTTGCTGACCCCCACCAAGCTTGGGAGCCAACCTATAGCAGGGCAGCCACAAGACTGGTTTGTGCAACTCGAAAAAAACAATCTGCAGGAGTATCCCTGGTGTCCTGGACACAAGACCATGGGGGGCTAATGCAGAGCAGAACACATGGTTCTCATGTTACCTGAACCCCGTGGGCTACTATCTAATTCACTGCAGAGAACATAAGAATGGCCATACTGGGTCAGACCAATGGTCCATCTAGGACAATATCCGGTCTTCAGCCAGTGGCGAATGCCAGATGCTTCAAAGGGAATGAACAGAGCAGGGCATTCATCAAGTGACCCATCTCCTGTGGTCTAGTCCCAGCATCTGGCAGTCAGAGGCTTAGGGATCCCCAGAGCATGGGATTGCATCCCTGAACTTCTTGGCTAATAGCAGCCATTGATGGACCTATTCTCCATGAACTTTAGTTCTTTTTTGAAACCAGTTATAGTTTTGGCCTTCACAGCATCCCTTGGCAATGAGTTCCACAGGCTGATTGTGTGTTGTATGAAGAAGTATTTCCTTTTGTTTCTTTTAAACCTACTGCCTATTAATTTCACTGGGTGATCCCTGGTTCTTGTGCTACATGAAGGAGTAAATAACACTTCCTTATTTACTTTCTACACACCATTCATGATTTTATAGATCTATGCCATATCCTTTCTTTCTTGTCTCTTTTCCACGCTGAACAGTCTGTCAGAAGCTGTTCCGTACCCTTAATTTTTTTCTTGCCCTTCTCTGTGCCTCTTCTATTTCTAATACATCTTTTTTGAGATGTGGCGACCAGAACTGCACACAGTATTCAAGGTGTGGGTGTACAATGATTTATATAGTGACATTATGATATTTACTGTCTTCCTAGCTATCCCTTTCCTACTGGAACCTACATACTGTTAGCTTTTTTGACTGCCCCTGCACATTGAGCGGATGTTTTCAGAGAACTATCCACAATGACTCCCAAGATCTTTCTTGAGTGGTAACAGCTAATTTATACATCATTGTTTTGTATGTATAGTTGGGATTTTGTTTTCCAATATGCATTACTTTGCATTTATTAACATTGAATCTCATCTGCCATTTTATTGCCCAGTCACCCAGTTTTGTGAGATCGCTTTGTAAGTCTTTGCAGTCTACTTTGGACTTAACTATCTTGAGTAGTTTTGTGTCATTGGCAAACTGTTTACCCCTTTTCCCAGATCATTCTGAATATTGACCAGTGCTGCTCCCAGTACAGATCCTTGGTGGACACCACTATTTACTTCACTCCATTCTGAAAACTTACCATTTATTCCTATTCTTTGTTTCCAATCTTTTAACCGGTTAGTGATTCATGAGGATTGTCTCTTTATGCTATGATTGCTTAGTTTGCTTAAGAGCCTTTGGTGAGGGACCTTCTCAAAGGCTTTGTGAAAGTCCAAGTACACTATATCCACTGGATCATCCTTGTCCACATATTTTTTTTGACCCCCTCAAAGAATTCTAGTAGATGGAGGCAGGATTTCCCTTTACAAAAGCTGTGTTTGTTTTCCCAACAAATCCTGTAGTGGGTTGGGCCACAGAGACCCCCTTGGGACTGCCACCTGACGTGCTGAGACTACCTCTGAGCCCGTTTTCCCTGGCAGCTTGGGACTTCAGTGCCTTGTCTTGGTGAGCCAGACATGCTAGCCTGCTACAAACACAGACCCAGGTCTGAACCACATCCCTCACAAGTTGCAAACTTAACAGAAAACAGCTTAAGAAGTGCTCCTGTCTTTAGCACCCAGTTCTCAATGGGATCCAAACCCCAAATAAATCCGTTTTACTCTGTATAAAGCTTATACAGGGTAAACTCATAAATTGTTTGCCCTCTATAACACTGATAGCGAGAGATCCACAGCTGTTTGCTTCCCCCAGGAATTAATTACTTTGGGTCAATTAATAAGCAAAAAAGTGATTTTATTAAAAATAAAAAGTAGGATTTAAGTGGTTCCAAGTAATAACAGACAGAACAAAGTTAATTACCAAGCAAAATAAAACAAACCTGCAAGTCTAAGCCTAATACAGTAGGAAACTAAATGCAGGTAAATCTCACCCTCAGAGATGTTCCAATAAGCTTCTTTCACAGACTAGACTCCTTTCTAGTCTGGGTCCAGAAATCACTCACACCCCCATAGTTACTGTCCTTTGTTCCAGTTTCTTTCAGGCATCTCTTTGGGGTGGAGAGGCTGTCTTTTTGAGCTAGCTGAAGACAAAATGGAGGGGTTTCCAGGGCCTTTTATATTCTTTCTCTTGTGGACAGAAACCTCTTTGTTCTCCTGTGCAACATCACAGCAACAAGATGGAGTCTGTAGCCACCTGGGCAAGTCACATGTCTATGAATGATTCAGCTTTTTGCAGGCCGACACCATTGTTTACATGTTAGTTTGAACATTCCCAGGAAAGCTCAGGTGTAGATTGGCATCTCCCAAAGTCCGTTGTCAGTTAAGTGTTTCTTGATTGGGCACTTACTGAGAATAGTCCTTTCTCAAGAAGCTGACCAAATGCTTCACGGAGGCTACTTAGAATCAAACAAATAAAATGCCAATATTCATAACTTCAAATACAAAAATGATACACACATACAGACAGCATAATCACAACCAGCAAACCACAACCTTTCCATAGACACCCCACTTGGCCTTCTCTGTACAAGACCTGGTGCAACCATAGAACCCTGGTTGCAACAATGATCTATACGGTCACAGTTTATCAATAACGTCACATCCTGTTCATGTATGTGTCTGATAATTCTGTTCTTTACTATAGTTTCAACCAGTTTGCCTGGTACTGAAGTTAGGCTTACTGGCCTGCAACTGTCAGGATTACCTCTGGAGCCTTTTTTAAAAATCAGCATCACGTTAGTTATCCTCCAGTCATCTGGTACAGAAGCAGATTTAGATGATAGGTTACGTACCACGGTTAATAGTTCTGAGGGAATTCAGATATGAAACTGCAGAACCCTTGGGTGAATCCCATCTGATCCAGCTGACCAATTACTGTTTTATTTATCAGTTTGTGCCAAAACTTCCTCTATTGACACCTGAATCTGGGAAAGTTTTCAGATTTATCATCTAAAAACAATGGCTCAGGTATGGGAATCTCCCTCACATCCTCTACAATGAAGATGATGCAGTAATTCATTTAGCTTCTCCACAATGGCCTTGTCTTCCTTCAGTGCTCCTTTAGCCCCTTGATTGTTGGGTGGCCCCACTGATTGTTTGGCAAGTTTCCTGCTTCTGAAAAAAATTGTTTGCTGTTAGTTTGAGACTTTTGCTAGTTCTATGTTCTAGTCCTACCTTCACCACTGACTTACTGAATGACCTCAGCCAAGTCATCTCAGCCATCTGTACCTCAGTTTCCTTATCTGTAATTTGAAGCTCTTTACTTCCTTAGCAGGGGTAATGTTTGTAAATTTTTTGAAGTGCACTAGAGAAGCTTTGCAAGATGCTAGAGATGCAAATATTAAGGTAGCCCACAGTTTGGGACTGTAGACATGTGGTGGTCTTCTGCCAGCTCTACCAGAAATTCTTTCAGTGGCAAATTAATTACATTCTAATTTTTGTGTTTAACATTTGCTTTAAAAGGCTTGTGATCAAAAGTATTCTTTCGTAGATAGCCTGTAAAATCTCTTCTCCTTTTTCCCAGTGTTGTCTCTGCCTTCCTGCTTTAGAGAGGCAGTGTGTCTGTCTTAGTCTTAGAACTGAGTGAACAGACTAGTTTTTCATCTTGGTTTCCCTTGTTGCAGAGTGCAAGCACGACCTCTTCTGCTGGGCCTGCTGGTGACCAAAATGAGCTCCTCACCAGAATAGCTAACCTGGAGGTGGAGAACCAAAATCTCCGCAGTGGTAAGTGAGAGATCTCCGGCAATAAAACACATTGGACTTGTGCCTGCTATTAGCGGCCTATCTTGCTGACTACTCAGTGTAATGTCATGAAGCCTTATGAATTGTGTGTATTTTGTTGGTGGTTTTGTTAACATTGGAGCAAGGATGTGTCTCGAGTTGGGATAGATGCAGTTTGCTTGGTAGCCTGCCTTGAGTGAAATCAGACTCATCCTGACCCAACCAAAGAATAATTGCTGCATCTTCTGCCATGTGTTGAACCACTAAGATGAGAGAGTTCTTTCTCCCTTTTCTAGTTGTTGTAGATCTTCAGCTGGCCATCTCCAAGCTGGAAACTCGCCTGAACACACTAGAAAAATCCTCCACCTCTCACCATCCCTCAGCAACGCCACCAACCCAGGTAATTGACTCCTCAAGGTGCCAGGTCAGTTTAGAATACTTCATGCCACCTACTGAGGAGAAAAGCGATCTCACTTCATTTGTAACTCACGAAAGCTTATGCTCAAATAAATTTGTTAGTCTCTAAGGTGCCACAAGTACTCCTTTTCTTTCTCCACAAGTGCTAGCCAAGGCCTCTTTAGCAGAGCCTTCTAGAGCTGCTCTTTCTTCCTCATATCAGCCCAAGTGCACAGATTCTCCTGCTTTAGGTCCAGTGAAGAGGATATGTGATGGGCCAGATCCTCAGCCGGGACAAATCTGCAGAGGTCCACCAAAATCTGTGATGCTAAGCCAGTAATTCACAGTTGTGTATAAATGGGAGCACACTAAGTAAACTAAGCTTCTTGGTACCTAATAAGTATATAGCAAGGAGACACCTATACAGATGGACAGACTTGGGGACCTATTGGTTTTCACATGCAGGAAAAAGTAATATCTCTGGGAGTTGAGTATCCTGTACCCATTGCATCTTGCCCCAGTTTGGAGGATGCATTGGAGACCTTCAATTGAACTAACTTTTGCCCCGTGCTTAGTAAATAATAAAACTATTTCCCCATGCTTATTTTTCCCCCCTACTGTTACTCACAGCTTCTTGTCAACTGTTGGAAATAAGCCATCCTGATTATCACTACAGAAGGTTTTTTTTGCTCCTGCTGATAATAGCTCACCTTAACTGATCACTCTCACTATAGTGGGTATGGCAACACCCATTTTTTCATGTTCTCTGTGTGTGTGTATCTATCTTCCTACTGTATTTTCCACTGCATGCATCCAGTGAAGTGGGTTTTAGCCCATGAAAGCTTATGCTCAAATACATTTGTTAGTCTCTAAGGTGCCACAAGTCCTCCTTGTTCTTTTTTGCCCCTGTGTATTCTATTCTATAAAGACTCTTATCAGTATCTAAGGGTATGTCTACACAGCCAAGAAAAACCCGTGGCTGGATTGTGCCAGATGACTCTGGTTTGTGGGGCTGTTGCACAGCAATGAAACAGCCCCACAAACCAGAGTCATCTGGCACAATCCAGCCACGGGTTTTTCTTGGCTGTGTAGACATACCCTTAGCCTGAGCCCTGTGAGCCCGAGTCGGCTGGCACAGACCAGCCAGGTGCTTTTCTTGGCTGTGTAGACATACCCTTAAAGCCCCTTCCAATAGGGCACTGAGGAGAGTGAGATTAACCTACGTAACGTGCTTCATTCTCTCTTCCTCCCTTGCCTACAGGAAGAATTGTTTGTGCGCTGGAGCGATTTGTTTTGGGGGTTATTTTTAAGTGTACATGTTGCTATGCTGCTTAGAGAAGGCAACATGCAGACGTGTGCCTGGCATTTAGGCTCTTTTAGATATGCTGGGCCCTGGGCTATTGAGTGCCTTGAAGTGAAGGACCAAGCTCCTGGCTGCATGACTTTGAGCTCTTGCCTTTGGATGGTGGCATAATCTTGTTTTGGCAAGTCAGGTCATAACTGCAACAGGGGGTGGAGTTTGCTGCCTTGTTTTACACTTGGATTTATTTTCTCCCTTTTTTTGCCCATTGCTTCCGTGAAGCATGTCACCCCAATGAAGAAGGTGGAATCACCTGCTGCTCCCCCAAAGAAAGTAGAACTCCCTTCTGCTCCACCTGCAAAGAAAGTAGAACCATCTGAGGCTGACGACGAAGATGAGGATGACGACATTGACTTATTTGGCAGTGGTGATGAAGAGGAAGACCAGGAGGCTGCCAAAGTTCGGGAAGAGCGACTACGCCAGTATGCGGAGAAGAAGTCTAAAAAGCCTGGCCTCATTGCCAAGTCTTCCATCCTTCTGGATGTCAAGCCTGTAAGCAATTTAAACTATTCCTTACCCAACTGTTGTTTTGGCTCTAAAGTGGGGTGCCTGTACTGAGATTATGGTTGTAAAATTGCAGGAGTGTGTGGGTTACATCTAATTGGCAGACTGCAGCTGCCCCATGTAGGTCTGGTCCACAAATTACAGAACCTATCAGCATGCAGTTGTTTGGATCGGCATTGAGCATTGCATGATGGGAGCAGTGAGCTGTTCTGCTCCATATTAAAGATGGCAGTTGCAGACGTTCTATGGGCTGCAGCTTGACCACCCCTGGTTTGGAAGACCTTTCTTCTCTTGGGGCTTGTTTACGCTGTCAGAGTGTGGGAAGCTGGGGTGTAAATCTGTAGCTCTCTAGCCTGCTGTGAGCTATCTAGGCAGGTGGGCCCTGCTACCACACACTAAAAGTTCCATAGTGCGCTTGCACATACTGCTGTTTCAGACTTAGTGTGGGGCAGGCTAGAGTATTTGTACGTTCACATCCGGGCTTGCCACGCACAACATCTCTGTGTGGACAAGCCCTTGAAAAAATATGTACCTTTTAGAGCATGAATATAGGGAATAAAAGCCTGAAATATGAGCACAGATTAATAATCAGTAAAGCGCAAACTCTCTCGAGCACAAGGAAACAAAAGCTTATAGGATAACCCAACACTTGGGGCTAACTAGATAAGTGCTAAGTAGTAGTTTTTACCAATTATCCAGGGCTTAGAGTTAGTTCCTGAAGCTGAAACCCTGAGATGGAAGAAGTGACATGTCATTCCAGGAACACTTCCCTCTAGATATGCAGAATCCAGACCATCTGCAGTAACTTAGTCTCAATTCATGTAGAGTCAAACTTGAGAGATGATTCCTCTGGGAAAGGCTTCTTTTGTCAAAGAAAGGACTCCTTAACAGAGACGGATGGCAAAACTGGACGAACAGAGCTGAATACTGGAGTATCACTGACTAGCATGCTACCTAGCAAATTGGCATGGTACAAGTAGAATTAATGATTTTGTCACTCTTGTTCTCTGCTAGTACGGAAGAGTTCTGTCTCGCATCTCCTCGCTGCTTTCCTGATCGCAGCCCTATATGATAGTGTGTTAAACCCCTTGTTGCTGACTTTTATGTCTGGAATTGGAATACGTACCACGTTGATCCAGTTCAGCTTGCATGGTTGAGGATTGCAGAGTCCACAGTCCTGATGGACAGTTCCACAGCCTAATATTAATGTAGGTAAACCTGCTGAGTTCCCTTTTTGTGCTTTGTTAGTGGGACGATGAAACTGACATGGCAAAGATGGAGGAGTGCGTCCGGTCCATTCAGATGGATGGCCTGGTGTGGGGAGCCTCCAAGTTGGTTCCAGTGGGCTATGGTATTAAGAAGCTCCAGATCCAGTGCGTAGTGGAGGATGACAAGGTTGGAACAGACATACTGGAGGAGGAGATCACCAAGTTTGAAGACTACGTAAGTCCTCCACTTGTGCCCTGCAGTACTTTCAAATATTTGGGCCCTTAAACCCACACCCCAGATTTTGATCTACTTCATGTGTTGGCAGCCTACTGTATATTCAGATTCTGCATCATCTAAACTTTCAAGGGTGGGAGAGGCCTTGACATGGAGTTTTTAGTCCCCATGTTTGTGAAGATAACCTTGAAAACATGAAGAGTATAAGGATGCTGTCCCAGAGCCTGCAGACAGCCTGAAGCCATAGCTTTGAGGTGTGACCCTCCCTTGCCCTTGTACTCGTTGGGGTGTCTAGCTCCTGGTGCTTAGTGTGTTGATGGTTCAGGGACAGCAATTCACCATTTTGTTGATTGTTTTAGCAGATGGGATGGGACATGAATGTGGGGTGGAGTGAAGTCTACGGCAGAGGTGGAATTGGAGCTGCTTGGGTGGGGAAGAGAGAAGACCTACAAGGATGGGGACAGGGAGAAACAAAGGGCAGAAATAGTGGCAATCCTGAAGGCTAGTTTTTTCCCACTGAGTGGTGCTGAAGGTGATAAGGCACATTAACAAATATTAACATAGTTAATTTACTACATAAAGGCCATCTCCTACCTTTTTGATCTGTGCAAACTACCCTTTCACATCTGTGGGAGGTTGCTGTGGATTCAGGGAAGTATGTAGTCCTAAAACACTATCCTAGCCCATGGAC